CTASTAGTAGTATGGTGCTCAATCTTCAAACAGTACCTTGCTAGACTTCTTTTTTCTGTAGAGATCATTCAATTCATGGCCAAAATAATCTAGGAAGACAATGGATGGGACATTCTTTGATGGTTTGGTTGATGGTCTAGAAGAATTTCCAACAATGCACCAAGAAGGCATGTCCACAAAGAAGAAAAGAGGGAAGACAACTGAATGAGGACCAAGTATCTGACATGATGGATACTTTAAAAGCCCAAGGTTTGAAAATAAGTTTCAACCTAGTAGGAAGGAAAAAATAGTTCTAGTGTAAGAGATTTCTTATTTCTGAAAAAATGTTGTTGTTGAACAAGGAGGAAGCACGAAGCAAAACGAAAGGAAATGCAAATTCGCACCTTTGCTCTATTAGTGTGGTGAAAAGAAAAATTTAATATGACCCAAGTAGCAAAATTCACAGCACAGTAGTTTGTAGAAGAAGGAAAAAGGGCAGTGTGATGCAAGCTGAAGGACACCATTTTTTGGTCAATGAAGCACTACACTAGAGATTTGAGCCATGCTGCGAGCAGCGAGGGACGCAAATGCGAACAAATGTTCGAAGAAGTTTGTGGRAATGCAGCTTTAAATACTAGCCATCCGCAGAGGTTTGGAACGAAGCATCGTTGAATCTCGACCAATGATTATTCCTCGAGCCAGGAAAGTCAACAGTATTAGCAGCGCGAACAGGTTCTGCTGAGTCTATTCATCGATTTCCACTAGAACCGTGTTGCCGTCTCTTCTTGCGCGCAGGAACACCCTTCCGGAGGACTACCTCRATGACGGCGCTTGGGATTCGCGGATAAGGCCAGTCTCCGCCCTTTACGCCACCATGCTCCGAGAGAGTTTCATCTCCCGTTAGCAAGGCTTCCAGCTCGTCCACAATGTTCGCGCCGAAGACATACTCGACGTGTCCCTTCTTAGGAAGGGCAGCGCGCCCGTTGGAGGATGGGTCGGCATCGATCGATCCACTTATAGCCAATCGCTTCGAAACATCCTTGCAGAACACCGCAGGCTCAATTCCATTAAAATAGTACTCCTCTAACCCACGCAGACGGGTCACAAATTTTCTTGATTGCCTTCGGACAACTTCAATTTGTACAGGTGGTGGCTTCCCATGGGCTAATTTCAGGACATTGCTGCCCGGCATTTCCACCAGACAAAAGGCGGGTGACATCCGAGCGGCAAATTTCGTGTATAGATCCTTCGGGGAAAGCTCCGCGGGGGTCGTTTCGTTGCTGCTACCTTTGCCGTACAAGGCAACCGTGAGGGGTCCATCGAGAGCTACCTTGCGTTTCATGGAAGATCCTTTCATTCGCAAAAGCTCTCGTTCGAGGTAGTTGTCGAGGATTTTCCGGACCTCTGGCAGGGTCAGCATCCCCGTGCCCCTTCGCTCGGCAGAGGTAGCGTTGGCGGCCTCAACAGCATCGGAATCCAACCGCATCAGCKYTGTCCAATTGCTGGGTACCACGTGAAGYGTCACAACCACCACCTTCGTCGTTTTGCCATTTCCAGAATCGCCCGTAGATCTTTTCGTTTTCTTTATGCCTCGCAGGTCCGAGTGTCGCTTGTTGTAGGATATCAAAAGGGCATTAGGATCTTTGTTGTTTCGGTTGGATGGATCGGGTCCGGTTTTGAGCAGTCCAAAGCCATCGTCGTCGTTTTCGTCACCTTTCTGCTGCCATCGTTTGAGGTAGTTTCCGAACTTCTTGTAGGTCGTCTCTTTCATCAAATCTGTCATAGATTCAATTCCCTTTGGTCGATGGGGCACGACGAATTTTGTATAAAATGTACCGACTGAGATGGGCAAATCGTTCTTCCCAAGATGAACCAATGCTCGACAAACGGTTTCGTGGAAGAGGTCGTCCGGTGTTGAATCGGTTGTTTCCTCTGTTTCCTTTTGTTTAGCACTACTAGTTTCTTTGTCATCGTTGTTTATTTCCGAATTCTCTTCTTCGTTGTCTRATGCTGGTCTCTTTTCCGAAGAATTTGCGTCGTTCCCCTTTGAGTTTTCTCCTTCGGCATTGGTGTCCGAAGGAGGGGGCATCGACAACCCCCCTTCTTGCTGTTTTTCGGGACGATCCGCACCAGATTCAYCCTTCTGATCCGCACCCTCCTCTTCCTCCTCCTGGTCGTCTTCTTCGTCGCTGGACACTTCCACTACGGGCAAGACGCGGAGCTCGCCATCTCGGGTACGGACAAATCCAGGGTTGCCATAGGAACCGTCCTCGAGATTGACAGCAGCATCACCGCCGTTATACGTAGCACGGATGTAGCTGGCACTGGCAGTTGTTGTTCTCCATAGATCGTCGCCGTAGCAGCTCCAGATCTCTACACCGATGCCCTTCGTCCCGGGGCCGAAGGGAGGGGTTGCTGCGTCTTGCTCGCCCTTKGTCTGTTCGCAATACAGGACCGATCGACCCACAGCAAATGGTTGAGGATTTCCATGCACRCAGACCAGAACCATGTCTTTGCTAGACTCTAACGGATCCTCCTTCTTCCCTTTGTTCTTTTTTGGTTTCCTGGGCCTCGCCTCGTCTGCACCTCCTGCTGCAAGGTTGCTWCTGCCGTCAGGTGCCCCAAAGATTCCGGCTCGCATCAGATCGGCACCCCGGCAGAGGTATCTCGACACAGCCGAGGGAACACGAACAATTCTACTCGTGTGGAGGTGTTCCGAGACCGTGGTCGAGAATTCGATRGAATGCCATARCACAGCTATGAGGGATATCGTGGGGCTTTCCCGTATGACCCTTCCAGATTTCTTGTCTTCTACGGCCATCCAWACAAACTGAGGTTTGTTTTGGTACGGCCAACGGAAGCCCGACGAYGATGATTTGTCGTCGTCGCCGCTTTGGTTAGGAGATTTRACGTAGAGTATCATGCTTTCGTGGTTGCCCTTTGTGTTGCTTCCGTCACCAGTCGTCGTGGTTGATGTTGGAGCCGGAAGGCTCCGAGACGAGATAGTTCCACCCTTTGTGAATATTTCTTCTAACAGGGCTTCAATTTTTTTTGCGGAATTAGTCTTTCCAGGAGTGTTTTGGGCTTCGTCCGTGCCGTTGTCTACAGCCACGGTATTGCTCTGGTTGTTGKGGTTGTCGTTRTCGTCATCGTTCTCATTGTCGTCGACGTGGATTCCCCCGAGGAAATAAGCTGCCGCTCGATCCCTCAGCCTTCGGCGATCGGATTTTCGCAGCGGYACGTCGACGGCTTTTGAAGTATTAGTTGTTTGTTCAGTGGGATGCTGGGCCTTTCCTCCTTTGCCGGACTTGCCCTTMGTGTTKCCGCGCTTGTTGTTGCCGGCCTTTCCGCCACCCTGGCTGCTGCCACCGGTGGATACAATGTCTACGCACGACCCCTCTTTGTGAAACATAGCCGTCTTACGATCGATCTCTGTTTGCTGGGTKWAAACTAGGAATCAACGCTTGCCTGCTATGATTTAGTGGGCCTCTTCGGCGTTGGTATTCAAAAAAGATCGTCGTATTGTTTTGTTTTGAGAGAAAAATGAACGACTGGATCATCTCAACTTTCTCAATGCTTGCGTACTMCGCGTACCGGTACGGCAACGKTKGATACCGATCACCGTACGTACGGTACSAAGTACGTACCATACTCATACKMMG